TCCACTTCTTTCTTCTCTCAAAGCGATGCGAAACCAAACCTCATTAACACGTCCAAGAACAATCAAAGTTCCGGCTTCAGCAATGCAAACATATATTTAGTTATTCGTCGCATACGTGTTTTAATGCCTTCATTAGGGCTAAAACAATCGAAGCGGCCGAAACAATAATTAATAAAGCATACTGATCTATCAGGTGGTCAAGACGATAATCATAACAAGTGTCAGACCATATTCAATCAAGACATATGTACAATATGTTTAATTAATACTTATAGAGGCTTTTAATTGACCGGGAATTCGGGAAGGCTCGGCATGGAAAGGCTTAGTGATACCACAACTGTGATTTGGATATTGGAGCCTTGTTGTTAATACAATATTCAAACACCACGACCACTACACAAGTTTGCCATGCCATGCACATATTCCTTATGAATCTTTTCATAGATGGGCACCACTCTATTTTTCACGAATCGAGTGTGTTGCAATTGCACTGTGGCAATAAGGACAACGATGTGCCATCTCATTCATCAAGGCCTGACAAAAGGAGGCCTAGGATGCTCTTGTTTCTCAGATCCATGCGTAGATCAGGGCATTCAAAAAAGGGTTCAGTGGTGGTCTTGGTTGGATTATATAAATTGAAGGCACACTCGAGAATTTATGTGATCTTTCAATCGACAAATGTCCACGAAAGTATGAGCACAATGTGAGCAAGTCGGTGTCCCGTTGGCTGCGTTGCTTAGTGGATTACAAGAGTCTTCAAAATCGAAAGGGATATTGTGATATGTCCGCGTGTATCTCTTGAGAAGCCCTCCCTATAGAAATGCCTGATGACTCTCAGGGTATTCGAGATCTGAGCTGTTTGGATATGCTGGGATTGTGGCGCGCAAATCAGGATGGTCAGATTGCATGGCGTCGATTGAAAGAACCGTGCAACGGTGGCGAAAGAATCCATGAATCGACTTTATTGCTTCTGCAAGTAATCCATAGGAGGTCAAGTTGTAAATGATGGAAGCAAACAACAATGGTTTCCCGAAGTAGGTAAACAGGGGATCTGGCCATGAAGCGGTGATGATTATTGATCACGTCAATGAATCCAGTGCAGACTTTGGCGGTTATTCCCATTGTATGGATGCCATAAGAGATTGTGGACATTGTCTGTAAAATTTGAGGCATATTTCCAATGGATTATGTTTATGCAAGAGCCGTCGCTTCAGAATATGGAAATTCTAATTCAAATTCTTCTCAGAATAATGCTATTTTCCCAAACTCTACAACCAATGACAACCTCCAGATATGACATCTTGGTATCCAAAAGGATTAGGACATGTTAACCAACAAATAGGGCAGGCCTTTGCCACGAATCTCATCGTGCTTCGTGGCTTGCATCAAGCTGCAGGTCATTTGTGGCTCAAGCATCTTCCGCTGACGGAATATGGCGGGACTGTACGTCGGTCATTTGTAGTGGCCGCACTGTTCAAACCTTTCTTCGGGTGATTGAAGCGTGCCGGTGATAATGCACTGCACGTGCCACCGTGATCAGCCACGAGCTTGTGAAGAGCTGGAAAGAATCACTCCGATCAGGGCACACTCTATACATTCTGGGGAGATGGAGTGTATTCAAACACACCTCCATGTCAGCCGTTTCCAAGCTCAATGTGAGCATGCACCAGTACTCCGCGTACATATTGAACATTAGTCGTGCCCATGCACAAAAAAGTGCTGTTCATGGTAAGGACCACATTCTCGCCAGCCACTAGTAGGAGAATGGGTTACATAAACAGCTTGTAGCTTAGCTAGTCTTCGTTTTGTACAAACCTTCGCACCAGACTGAGAGACCGCTTGGAAGATGAGTTCTTCCACTTTTGACATGACACTTTTTGCAACACACCACGTGATGCTCTTTTTGAACGCATGAGTTGAGATATTAATCCACCAACTCTGGACCAGTCCTGGATAGTTTTTTTCTTTGTGGAACTGTCCTTCCTTGTCCTACAAAAGTTCACATGTTCTATCCTGTTCCTCCACTAAAGATTTTGAGGTCGGCTCCCGATCTTGCAGGTTGGTAAAATTTGGTAAATGGCTACCCAGGTTGCTACCTTGTCGAACGCATGAGTTCCAACCTATCAATAATTCATCCAGTCGGGGCCTCAGTGGATGATGGTGATTAGTAAAGGCACCATTTTCAGTTCGGTTTGGCCCAGTGCTTTCGCTTGCTCGATCGCCTGAAAACCTCTCGGTGCGCCCTGATTTCCTCTGAACCCACGTTTTTGGGGGGTGCGAGTTGAGGTCCTCTCGTCGATCTCATCGCCTAATCCCAAACACACTTCTCTTCTTCGGCGTGGTTCTAAACCATTCAGCACAAATCACCTTTCACAAGCTCTCCCCCTCTCTGACGCAAATGGTCCGTCCCACCTGCTGCATTTCCAAAGTGCAGGCGGAAGGAGCTTTTGGTGCGAACTTTAAGGTCAGATCCAAGCCGAGAGTTGCACGTTCTACATTCGTCTGGTGTTGGGAAATTGGTCAGGCATGCACATGAAACGGATTAAGCATCTTCGTTGGCATGTCGATGGTGAGTTGCAATACCCAACTTTAAAGCGCGAGATTGCTGAACCCAACATGAAGCAGCAAAACAGCCTCTTAATGTCATAGCCCTCAAAAAGAGTGTATGTGTGTTTGGCAATGCTTTCAGAGTATGTAGATAGCACAAACACCAAGAAACTTGGCTGCCATCGCTAGTAGGGCGGAGGCCATCGCTAGTAGGTTGGAGGCCAT